AGGAGAATGTCGGGAAGAGCGATTAAAAGGGTAAGTGGCGCGGTGGTGGAGGGGAAAAAAAAAACTGGATTTTCTCACCTCAGTGATAAGGACAGGATTTTTCTTGGCTTATTGTTGCAACTGAACAGATAACATTAATCACCTGTGTGGATTCACAATAATTGTGTCAGGGAGGCATGATATTACTATGTGGTAATGATTAATATGCATGTTTGATTTGTGATTATATATATGTAATTATGATGTTATGGATAGTTAATATATGTATAATTAGTTATAGTGATATACTTGAGTGTGTCATAATTGGTAATAAATATAGTTTCTGTTATCATTGTATAATAGAGGTTACAATGCTATGCTACCAGCAATTATGTACCTTAACAAGGATTAACAACATATCTAAATTAAATAAACATGTAGTAATACGGTAATACAAGTGAGAATTAGTTGTAGTAAATGCCGATTAGCCGCGCATAAGTACTTAAGTCGGTTGATGGAAATTATGTTCCTTCCCCATTAGTTCATAAGAAGTTAAATTACAAAAGCTAAATGTGAGAAACTCAGGTTTCATATATGTATGCTATGTACATTATGCTGTAGTGTGACTAATGCTGTTAATACTAATTAGCAATACGTACCTAGTACATCTTGCATGTTCATTGATGACTAGACAAAGGCCAGGATCCTATGTCATGTGTAGATAGACAATTGTACGGCATTTCGTATATACTACTCCTGCAGTGGAGTGTAAAAGTCGAAAGCCTGTAATTGTTTTACATGATGTAGGATTGCTGGTGTCCTTTTTTCGTAGTCTCATGAACGTCAAGATTTCAGTACGTCTTGCTACTTCTACTTACCATTAGGTCACACAACATACATGTACAAGCACATATATGTCACACCCTCTGTTTTTTCTATATTTTTTCTAGTTCTTAATTCTTTTATATTTTCCTCTTATCTCCATGGACCGTGGTAACGAATACTCCTCCGTAAGCCATGCGTGTTTTGTAAGAGGCTGACTAAAATGCGGTAGCAAGGGGCTAGTAACCTCTTCTCCTGTATATATTACAAATTTTAATGGAGAAACTATTCGTTTTCTTTGGCACCCGCTCTCGGTGGGAATACGGCATGGATTGTTGAAAAAGAGAAAGATATATATATATATATATATATATATATATATATATATATATATATATATATATATATATATATATATATATATTATAATGTATGTATGTATTTAGATTTTAACACATCTGCTGCTTTCTACCAAGGCACGGTGACCCGCAAGAAAGAAAAACCCAAAAAGAAAGAAAAAACTTTCATTATTATTCAACACTTTCACCATCACTCATACATAATCACTGTCTTTGCAGAGACACCCAGATATGACAGTTTAGATAATCACTCCAAACTGCCAAAATGCGGGCATTGTACTTCACATTTCCAGGACTCAAGTCCGGCTAACCGGTTTCCCTGAATCCCTCAAAAAAAATATTACCCTGCTCACACTCCAACAGCTCATCAGGTATCAAAAATCATTCATCTCCATTCACACCTATCTAACATGCTCTCACACACTTGCTGGAAATCCAAGCCCCTTGCCCACAAAATCTCCTTTACTCCCTCCAACCTTTAGGACGACCCCTACCCCGCATTTCTTTCCCTACAGATTTAAACGTTCTCCAAGTCATTCTACTTTGTTCCTTTGTCTTTAAATGACCATACCACCTCAATAACCCTCTGACTAATACTTTTAGTAACTCCACACCACCTAATTTCCACACTACGAATTCTCTGCACAATATTTACACCACACATTGTACTTAGACACTACATCTCCACTGCCTCCAGCCTCCTCACTGCAGCATTTACAACCATGCTTCACACCCATATAAGAGTGTTGATACCACTATACTCTTGTACATTTCTGTCTCTGCCCCCATGGATAATGTTTTTTTTTCTCCACAGATACCTCAATGCACCACTCACATTTTTTCCTTCATCAATTGTATGATTAACCTCATCCTTCATAAACCCATCTGCTGACAAGTCAACTCACACATGTCTGAATACATTCACTTCTTCCATACTCCCTACCTCCAATGTGATACCCAATTTTTCTTTATCTAAATCATTTGATACCCCTCATCACCTTACTCTTATCTATGTTTACTTTCAACTTTCTACCTTACACACACACACACACACACACACACACACACACACACACACACACACACACACACACACACACACACACACACCACACACACACACACAACACACATAACGACACATTCACATACACACAGCAGCACATTACAACACACACAAACATACATACATCATACACCGTATGTAAAGGAAAGTTTCGCTATGCAAGGATCATTGTAGTAATATGTATGTGATTAGCAATAAAATTGTAATTAATAATTTCATACTGCAACAGTACTGTAAACATTTGTAATAAGGAAGTAATGTAAATAAATGCAGTTGTAAAACCTAAATGTCTGTAATCTCACATATATATTGCATGCTCAAAAAAATGTTATATTCTATACGAGCAGCGATTGATAAGATTTTCTATTGTCAGATATTCCCTTGTTTGACTGTGAGTCATGTACATAATTATTTAAAATAAATGACAAAAGGCAAAACGAGTGTGGGTCATACAGACACTATGGTATGACTTAAAACTGTTTGCCATAGAGTATCAGCACTGTTTATATAAACACTGTCAGCAGTCTTAATGTTGCTGCAAGTATTTTAAGAAGTTTTTTAAACTACAAAAAGAAAAAGAAATTGATAAGAAGCTTGGTATGACTCAGAAAATGTTTGATACTGCATATCCAACCGCAGTATGTATAAAGTATGTATGATATTGAAAACAATGTATCCTGTCACAAAATTACTGTAATGATATTTTGTACTTGTGCCTTCATGCATTACTATTGTTATATCTTAATACAATACAAAAATGGTACCATTATACAATACACAGATAATTTCAACTTAGATCATCACTTTACGTGATAAAAAATTTGTTAGTAGTTGTTCCAATACAGTTGTAACTTTATGTTGACATTGTAATGTATAGTTACAGTTTTCCAATCTGAGTTAGGTATACAGTTTTTATTTTAAATTTTGTATTATAACTTTACTATTAAGTATGATGAACTATTTGTTTTATAGACTTTACCATACTAGACAAAAATAAAATACCTATTTCTAAAAGTTTTGAATTGTCATTTCTGGCAAGGAGAGTAGTTAGTCCATAACACCATGACAAAGTACCTCTTGATTGACAGTACAATAATTAACTAATATCCTCTCCTATCGGCTTTGGAGTTGAACTTCTGATGAAAGTTTATACACCCCACAAATGGATCCATATAACGGACTTAGGAAATACAGCAAATCACGGGTCACTCATTTCGGAAACCATGGAAAAAGTCCACTGGTTTCAGAAATGTCTATTATTGTTACAACCAAGGCAAAGTACACTCTTCGCTATCCACCATAATTGCCATTACTGGTCACCTGGTCCTCCCTCCCTTATTAGTCTGTTATATAGTGAGTTTACTATGCAGATCTGGTTTTAAGTTTGTTCATCATGATTATCAGAAATACTGAAGTGTACTAAATTTCTTAGCAGCTGTTGATTGTGAAGTTACTTGTTCTGATAGTTATTTCACCTCAAAGTGATTATATTATTACCAGTGTGATGATGCACTAACTTTCTTGGGATATCCTGGGTGGCTAACCCTCCAGAGTTAAAAATCCGAACAAAATATTATCTATCTCTCTTATCTTACCGCAACTACTTATGAAAATCCAGTTAAATGTTAGCATCATTGTCGAAGCTTTTGATAAGGTATCAGTAGAGGACACAACTTTCTTATCGTTAAAACAGGAAATACTAAGTGGTGGTAAGTACATACTACTTTCTGAATTCCATGGGTATGTGGTTATGATGACAGTTATTATTATCACTGGGTCATATTACAACTGTAGGTATTAATGTAGCAGCTGATTTATAAGTGATTTCTTGTAAAGTAGTTGGGTTAATTGAAGTTGATGGCTTCGTGGCAGTTTAAGCGTGGCAATGCAGGCGTTATTCTTTTCCAGTATTTTCAACCATCCCAGTTTTGGTGAGGCACCCATTGCTGTTTGTTGAGATCTGGTTGGGCCTGTGCTTGCTGGTGGGGATGGGTACTGGGTTGCAGTTTTGTACAACAGTTCTAACCTGTTGTAGGGATGAGAATTTTTCATGTTTTGAGTTAGTTTTGTTGACCACAGACTGTTATGAGGACAAATATCTGCTAGCTGTTTTGACAGCTTTATCAGCAGCCTTGTGTCTTTAGACACCGGTATTGCTTGGAATTCAGGTAAGTGTCTTTCAGTTTCCCTACCTCTTG